TATCTCCAAGCCTCTGTTCATTTGTGGCTTCCGGGTGGTCGACGTGTTCATTTCTCACAATGGCCTCGAAGTAGTTTTGACTCCTGGCATCACCACTCTTGCAGGTGACTGCAGTAGCACTTTATATATACCTTAATGATGTGTCCACCAGTCTCGTGAAGGCACATGTGAATTAACAATTTGCGTAAAGCCCTTGCACGATACAGACTTAATGGCACTGTACTCCCACTGTATATATGTACAGCTCATAAAAGAAAATAAAGGGCTCTTGCCTCGTGCTAGGCTAGACATTGCCAAACATATGGTGTCAAAATTTGTGGCATGTGTTGACCAAATTTCTTCTGAATGACACATCAGCACACCACTGTCCCTGTTCTGGGAACCCTGACCTGGCCTCTACGACATATACTACTGACGGAAATGGCTCCTTCGAACCCAGATGGTCCAAGCCAAGTGACAGTGAACATATGGCTTCATTCCAAATAACTCCACCTAACCCGTTCAGATTTTCGTCGCTGTCAGACTGGCACCAATGGAAGAAGTGGCTCCTGCACTACCGTGCTGCTTCAGGATTTTGCAACCATCCAAAGGAGTGTCAAGTCTGCACATTGGTATACCTCATGGGCCCCCAAGGCAGAAGGCACCTTTAACGCATTTAAGCCGACGTCCGACGAGGAGAAAAACTTTGATGCGGTGCTCTAGAGCTACAAGAACTGCCTTGTACCTCGACAAAACATTTTCTTCAAACGGGCACAATATCAACACCAGAATCCGGAGGACCTGTCACTAAATTACCCAAGCATCGAGGAGAATGCTGGGAATGTAAATCTATGTGCTGCACAGGCTTGCCTTCCCCATATAATAGATTCGAAGTAAGTGACCAAAACAAAGCGTTGACGAACATGTGTGCCAAATGCCTTTTCTTTTAGGCTTTTTCTTTAGAACAGGCAATGCTGCAGATGCCAGCACTTGTGGCCGCATAGACCTAAATTCCCCGTATTCTCCTCAATGCCTGGGTAATTTAGCATTAGATGGCGAGTCCCTCAAAGATTTCGCTACAGCTCTTCATGCATTTGTGAACACTTGCAACTATGGGGAACTCCGGTTAATCTGAGACAGGTTAGTCGTAGTCGTCAAGAATCATGAGGTGTCGCAAGCACTCCAGCTCAACCCCAGCCTAGAGCTTTTGAAGGCCTTAATTATAGCTTGTCAGATCGAAACTGTCCAGCAACAGCATGCACAGCTCCGAGTAGGCGAACCTACCGAAAATGCCGCAGTGGATGCCCTGCAAGCAAAAGAGAATTGGCCGGCTAAGTATGGCTCTGACGCCAAGTCACTGCCCAAGACGCGAAACTGGTCTACAGAAGGTATACCACCAAAACTAAACAAGCTCGATTTTGTGGCTGGTGCAGTAAAGGGCGTCGTGAAAAATCTTGGTGCCAAGCAAAAAAAGCCCGCATGCAGTAAGAGTAGAGAGAAGGGCCATTATTCGGCTGTTTGCCAGCTGATGCAAGTGGGGACCTCGAACGGCGGTAGACCAGATCTCATCGATCTGAGAAGTCTCCTCATTAGTCGAAATAAAAGCTTGGTCTTCAAGATTGATACGGGAGCAGGCAAAACTGTCATCTCGAAACGACAGTGCTTGCGCTTTTTGAGTACGTCCCCCTAAAACACACGAAGCGTCGATTTCAGGGACCTGATGGAAAGACCCTCCGCATATCAGGACAGGTCCGGCTCAATTTCGAGCTAAATGGTCAAGAGAGCGTCGAAGACCTCCACACTCTTCCTCTCCTCTGCACCGCACCCTCTGGAAAGCCATTTTGGGCTGTTCAAGTCACTCAAGGAGGTGTTGGTGTTACATTGAGAAAGACTTTCCCGAGTTCCTCCAAGGTCTAGGCAAATTGCAACAGGAGCGTGACATCTCGCTGCAACCAAATTCCACTCCGTTCGCTCTCGTGTCTTTTCGGCGAGTACCGATACCTCTGTACGAGAAGACAATCAGCTTCTACGGATTTAAAAAATTGGCGTAATCGTCCCCATAACAAAACCCACACCTCGGCGTGCTGGTATATACCTAAACCGTCAGGGACACTACGGATCTGCATGGATTACAGGGAACTAAACAAGTTTGTGGAACACACCCTCGGGATTCTACAAAGAGCCACCTGGTTCTCGAAGATGAACGCAACCTCAGGGCTCCGGAAAATTTCTCTAAGCAAAAAAATCAAAATGCTGACCACCTCACACCCTTCAATCACCTTTGCTTCAACCATTTATTCTTTAGAATCTGCTCCACCCCCGAGCACTTTCAGCGATGCATGAGCAACATCCTCAAGGGCCTCAACGGTGTTGTATGTCACATGGACAATATCCTCGTTTGGGGATCAACGAAGGGCCCAGACAGTGATGATATGTCAATTTGCCACAACAGGACTCGTCTGGTCCCGTTAGCTAATGCCACTGCAATAGTAATAGTAGAATAGTAATCTTTAATGACTCAGAACAGCCACGGCACCACGGAAAGGTGACAGCCTGTACCGTAGAGATCCACGCAGTGCCGCCTCTAGTAAGGGTGATTATTGGCCGATATATGTTCAAGATGCACGACAATGTTAAAATGGAGCTTGTAGGTAAAGGTGCAGGTTGATGTTGCGGGTGATTATAATTGTGTGTGTACTATGTTTATACAGCCGGAAGTTAGTCTGCCTGGTATCTCAGATGTAGATGAGCAATTTCGTAGGTGATGAGGGCTTGCTGACTAGATGCATGTGCGATGATAACGATGATGGGATGGTGAAGAACATTGGGCCTAGCAGCGCTCTTCACTGTAATAATTGAGAGTCCACTAGGCATGGATACCAGAAGAGAGCTGGCGCTCGTGGCTTTATGTCATGAGCTCACGCCTCGCTCCCAGCTGTTGCTTGAGCCCCCCCCACGTATATCCGACACATCTTCTGGTCTTTGGAGAAAGAAAAAAAAAATTTAAGATACCATATATATATATATATACCATTAAGCACTTACACACAAGCAGAAGGCAGAAACAATAGAAAAAAAGGAATTGAATAAAGCAAATAAAAGATAAACACACAAAAGAAACTAGGGAACTTGTTCAAATGTTTCGTTGTAAGTTAGATATGGTGCACATCTGCTTCTTGATGACATTTAAAGTGTCGGAGCCTCATCTATCGAAGCCGGCAATTCTGGTGATGGATGCGTGGAATGCTGGGTTGCATCTGGAATACTGTGCGGTTGTGGCGGCTGCAGAGCCTCCGGGGGCAGCCAAGTTTGTGGATTGTTGTGGTCGCCAGGAGGGCTGCTTTGGTGAAACGGTATCATTATCCAGGCAACCATAGAATGCCTTGGACGTCTTCAACAAATGACGGAGGTTTCTCCTGTAGATCCTGTTCCGTCCTGTCTGTAAAGTGTAGGAGCGTGGCCCAACAAAACCGGTTACTCTCGCTTTCTTGATCCAATCGCTTTTTTTTTCCTCATACAAAGACCACAGCACCTCTCTTCAGGTCCTTCGGCAACGTTCACGGCTTGTGACGTTGCCTCTTGCATACAGGATTTCCCGGGTTCACTGAAAAGTCAGGAATTTGTGCCCACAGTTTCCTCTCATCTAGCAACCCACCCGGGGACTGGCCTCCTATCCAAAGGAGAACACCAATAATTCGGGAGCCCGAGAAAAAACAAATCATCCCCCGTGTTGGATGACACAGGGCATGAAGATTGTGAAGAGAGGAATAGTGAATTCATGCTTTAATTCTGCCCTTTCTAAATCGTGTCACCATTGCATGTCGAATAGCTTCTAAAACAAGTAGACAGACTTACGAATGCTGGTTACCCACAGAAGATTATAATCTTCTGTGGGTAGCCGGCATTCGCAAGTTTGTCTACTTGGTTGTCGCAAGTCTGTCTACGAGTTAGTTTGCCACCATTCCTTTTGAGTATTTTGTTTTTTTGTAGTCGGGTGCATCCACAGTCACGGCAGCTAAATCCCAGATTACCGGAGATTTGGTTTGTTACATTATACTGATGTTCCCTTAATCGGTGTCATTAATGCACCATTCGGTTTGTACAATGTAGAACCTGTCACACGACGCATTCTTGACAGTTAACGAAAGGCTGTCGGTGCTTCTTTGTGCAATATATCCTCTCTTCCTCGATCTTGTTCACCTTCCTGCAGAGGGCAGACAGATCCTCTGGAGCAGAAAGAATGACTTCAATTGACTTCTGCTCTTTGTCCTATTCTCTTTAGAAAATCTTGTGTAAGTACGGAACGACACACATTTTTTTACTGCGGGTTCTTGGGCACATCGTCACTCGCTGGGCACTTTATCAAGTTTTTCAGCAATTTTTCGGCTACTGAACTAACTAGCCTGAGCATACCTTGTAGCACGCTTTTGCATCTTACGTTAATTCTCACCATTCTCACCAAACCACCCCAGCTGGGGCGGCCATCGCACATCAACAAAGGCGCTTGAGGTCTCAACAGCGAGGTAAAGGGCAGTAGAGAGCCTCAAGGCATAAAGCCCCTTCATGTTTCAAAAGTAGCGCAAGGTGCGCCGATGCACGAGGCATCAGCGCAACGTGTAGCCCTGGGGAAGATCATGGCGGCACAGCGCGCAGCAGTGGCAGCACTAACGTTGGGCAGCACTGAGCTGGATTTCAGACGCCATGTTCTCCCCATAAGTGGCGCGCAGCACGTGTCTCGAGCATTTCCACAACAATGAATGGCGCCACTATATCAAGGCTTTATCAAGGCAACCACAAGGTCGGTCAAAAAGCGCGCTACAAATTTGTGTACGAAGATCCCTCGCGCGCGCCGCGAGAGGGCGTGCGCTTATTTGAGGTTCACTGCGGAGTGAATATAGATTTCACATTTAAATATTCTAAGCTTAAATGGTAAAACAAAATGGCTAGGTGGCGTAAGCTACCGCCCGATCCAAAGGGCTCAGCCGTATTCATCCATCCATCCATTCATTAAGCCAGTAGCCACACACTTTTGTCACTTTAGCCAAAGCTTTAGCCAATTCAGTGGGTAATGGGAGTAATGGGAATGGGGTTCTTCCGTGTGTCATACACGGAGCCGTCAGAGCCGGTGGTAGCTGTCACGCTGTGTTCTAGCGTTTGTGCAGTTCGATCTCGCTGTGCTGGTCGTGTTTCATATGGGGAATAGACATCCGCGCATGGCCTGCTCCGCAATCCCAGCGGGACCGAGATCGGTGGCCGTGTGGGAGTACCTGCGCTTCTCCGGCACCTGGCTGCCCTACCCGGCGGAAGTTTGCGAGCAGTTCGAAAAGGCTCGGGGCCAGCCCGGTGGCACGGTCGTGTTTGTCAACGCGCCGGGCATCAAACCTCACTCGGTCGACGTGGTCAGCATGCGACAGATCTTCGCTGAGGACCAGGGTAAGACGACGTCGGCTGGCGGGCCGCTAGCAGGCCGGGATCGACGCCTTTCCGCCGCAGGCTCCTCAGCGGCAGGATCGACGGTGCGTCGTATGCTGTACCCGCCGGACAGTGCTCCCGCCCAAGGCGTTTCCTGGCAGTGGCTGGCCAACAACAAGGCCACCTGGTACACCTACAGCACGCCGCTCGTCTGCCTCATCGAAAAGCTTCGGTTGCAGGTGAGCCTTCGCGCCGTCCTCGGGGCCTCCGCCAGAGCCGTTGGCGTCCACCGGCGTCCGTGCCTCGGTGGGACGCCTGGATTTGGTCGGTCCTGCTCGTGGCCGACTGTCCGACTGTCTTCAGCCAGGGAACACTGAAAGCTCCTCTTGTTCTGTGCAGAATGCCTCAATGTCCTTCCATTCAGGGTGATGACATTCCTTGTAATACCCATGATCCACTGCACGCGTTCGCGTGGAAAACAAATAAATAGCCGAAAACAAAGTGCGGCCTTATTATTAGCACAGTAAATGTCACAAGCTCGTGCTCCAGAAGAAAAAAAAAAGGCGTTTGAAACGAAATTGTCAGGTGTCATCACCCTAAGCACATGAAGACTGATATACTAAGGCGAGCTGGTGAACGATCATAGCACCGCTGATCGCATAGTGCCCGAGGAACCATGCCTGGAGTGGGACCACTTGCTCTAAAATACCGAGGGAGCGCCCACCCCACCTTCACTAAAAACTGGGTTGATCTAGACATGGCTGCTTGTCCGGTCAAATCTAGCGCTTAACGTATAATTTTCAGAATTCCCAAGCTTGGCAAATGTTATAATAGGCGCTTGACTGAAGTGAATGCTTCCACGCTATTTTGCGGTAAGTGGAACTTTTATGTACAGTGAACGTACAAGGAGCTGGTCGACAGTTAGGTTGGTGTCTTCGGGATCTCTGAACCCACGTATTTTAGCCCTGTAAGGGCAAGAAATCCCGCTGAAAGAAAGGAGCCTTCCCTAAAATTCAAACGTTTACATGGTGTTCGCGGCGCGGGCACGGCTGACGCAATCGCCCCATGTTCCTTCGGCGAGGTGCAGTTGATGCAACCCATAGCCGCTCTTGCCACGCGCTGGTGTCTGATGCAAACTGTCTACGCTCTTGCCGCTTGCACCAAAACGCAACACCGACACACACAAATGCGTGCACATCGGTGTCTCTTCTTACAAATGCTGGGGGTACCAAATTTTCTTGTGGCTCCTGAAAGGTGTTATCCTTGGATTTGGGCCCCTCGGTGGAGGCCACGACCCGCCTGATGCCTCAAGACACGGTTCTGATCCCTGGGTCGAGTAGGGCGTTCTCGAGCGGTTTCCTTAGTGCTCCCAAAAACATAGCAGTGTGCAGTTTTCCTCATATGCAAGTCGAGAAAACAACGGCATCCCTCAAAATGTGTTCCCGTGTGAAATGTGTAGTGATTCACACGGACTGAAGTAGATCTATAAAGTAAAAATCTCTGCAAAAGTCACTTCAGCAAAAGAAAAACATAGGTTTTTATTTATTTTTAATTGTTAATCAAAAATCTCGGAACCCTATGCATTCAAAACATCAGGCAATTCGAATGTCATAACACACATTATCAAATTTGATTACGATACTGTATTGATGGGTGCAAAATCCCATTCTCACACCTGCCAGATACTAATTTACACCAAGTTTTAACTTCCTAAAATCACCTACAACTCGAAAAAGCTTGCGAGGCCTAAGCCGACCCGGCTGGGGGTGCCTTGACAGTGGAAGATAAAGCACATACCTCCCCAAAGAGCGGCGGTATTGAGCATCGACTCCCAAATTCATAGGAGTTCTGGGAAATTGTCGATGCGCTCAATCTGCTCAGAAAAAACTGCTGCTGTTTCGTGTTCAACCCTGGCCTGGGAACAATGCAGGGTGCCTGCCCCGTGGGGCTGGGCTCAGAATTTCGGGTTGGCCCAGGTCCATCTAGAGCTCCATCTTGGAGTATAACTGAATGAGGGCAGACAATGTTTAGAAGGACAGGAAGAAAATATGCTAAAGAGAGGGAAATAAAATTTATTCATTATGAAGCATAAGACAGTAGGGAATTGCAATTGATGGGAAGTTGTTTGGGGAAAAATAGCGCGACGATCACATGACGTGAGGAATTTAGACAAGGTCGGCTGTGCTGCTTATTCGACGATATGAAGATGACGATTGATGGACATTGTGCCCATCGTGCATCATGGTGTGATTTGATATTAAAATGACATTGCGTTGGTTTAGCGTCGATACATTGTTGATGAATGAATGATTTTAAGTTGTGATGCGTTTTCTCGTCAATTTCAGCGTAAAACTGAGTTGTGCATATAGTTCACGTGACGTCAATTTTCCTGACAAATTTAGCAGGGAAACTGAATTGGTGCATAGGTTTTGTGACGTGAATTTTTATGCAAAATTTAGCTAGGAAGTTGAATTTGTGCATAGGTCATGGACACCAATTTTTATGCTAAATTCAACCGGGAAACTGAATTGGGCAAAGGTCTTGTGACATCAATTTTTCCGCTAAATTTAGCGGGAAAACTGAATTTGTCTGTGGGTCCCGTGATGTCAGGTCATGTGATATCAATTTTGTCGCCAAATTTAGCAGGGAAACTGAATAAGTGCAAAGGTCGCATGACATCAATTTTTCCGCAATTGGGGAAGCTGAATTGGTGGATAGTTCACATGACATCCATTTTTCCGAAAATTTAGCGGGGAAAAAACAGAACAAACAAATTAGTCGTTAGCTGTTTACACAGCAGGAGTTTAGTCTGCCAGAACATGACAACATTGTTACCCACTGTAGATAAGCAATTTAGCCAGTGCAGTATCACTGCTAGCCTGGGGTCTTTAACGTGCACCACGGAGTAGTGATACACGACCGCACACCGGTACGGTGCTCATCCAGATCGAAACGGGCAGGGTTGGGGATTGAACCCAAGATCCCTGGGTTCTGCAGCGCAAGCTTTCGCTCCACATGCTCCGAGCTGGTGTGCACTAGCCTTCTCGGCCACCAATCCCTTCTTTAGCAGGGAAACTGAATTGGTGCATAGGCCTTGTGACGTGAATTTTTCATCTAAATTTAGCGGGGAAACTGAACTGGTGCATAGGTCACATGACATCCATTTTTCCTACAAATTTAGCGGGGAAAAAACAACAAACAAATTAATAATTAGCTGTTTATACAGCAGGAGTTTAGTCTGCCAGAACATGACGACATTGTTACCCACTGTAGATAAGCAATTTAGCCAGTGCAGTATGACTGCTAGCCTGGGGCCTTTAAAGGGGCACTGACACCCCAAAGGTCATATTCTTTTTTATTGTCTGAAACGATGCAAGTTGTAGTCATAGACACGCAAAAAAAATCGCATCGCGAAAAAAAATTTTCCTGCGCGCGCGCGCGCCTTTTTATTTTTGGCGTTTACATTTCGCGTGCTAACATCCTTGCTTCTTTTGATCGATGACGTCAAAAATCAGGAAATTTGGAAGCTTCGTAGGCGACATTTCTATAACATTTAATAACGGCAATCGTAAAACATGTTTTTTAACGCAATGACGAACGCACTACGGCCTTTCTTTTTGAGATACCAAAAATCAGATTTCGGTGTGATGTCGCTTCCTGAATTTGTGTTCTCGCTCGGAAACCTTGGCGGCGCTCGAGCAGAGGCTTATCGCTGAGTCGGGGAAGACCGGGTTTTCCTCGCGTCGGCTCCCTTCTATCCCGCCTGCTCACCTCCTCCTCTCTTCGGGTCGCGGTAGCAACGGCGCTTTGCTTCACAGCGTGGTGCGGAGGTCCGAAAGAAAGTCGAGTCGCAGGAGACCGCAAAATTTGACTCACTGCGCTGGCGCGAATCGCGCGGGAACTTCAAGTTCGGCATTTGGAAATTGTTTTTTTAGTTCACAAATACTGAATTCCCAAGTTTCGAATTTTGAGGGTAATGTCCCGGAATCATTTTCAGTCGTTTCGGATAATAAAATAAATTACGATTTTGATGTGTCGGTGCCCCTTTAACGTGCACCACGCAGTAGTGATACACCTCATGCCGGTACGATGCTGATCCAGATCGAAACGGGCAGGGTTGGGGATTGAACCCAGGATCCCTGGGTTCTGCAGCGCAAGCTTTCGCTCCACGTGCTCCGAGCTGGTGTGCACTAGACCACTCGGCCACCGATCCCTTCTTTAGCAGGGAAACTGAATGGGTGCATAGGTCTTGTGACATGAAATTTTCCGCTAAATTTAGCGGGGAAGCTTTTCATTTACGCTCGCACCGTCAAAAAACCGAGGAACAGCCCACTAACAGCTGACGCTGTAATATAGAAAGGACTCATAGTGCCCGGTCTGTTTTTGGGCAATACGGTATTATGTGTGAAGTCTGACGTTCTCTGCGAGAAAAGAACTACAAGATGCCGAGAGGAGCACGCAGGAGGAAAGAACTCGGGGGGGGGGGGGGGGGGGGGGGGGAAATCGGCTCTGGCTATGCATAGGGCACGAAATCGGGAAATAAGGAAGGAACATTGGTAGAATAATTCACAAGGGAGCTCTTCGTTATTTGAAGCTAGAACAGGGTTATTGAAATCTAGGACATAATGCAAGGGGGAAATGGATATGCGGCATTCCGTACGCCAAGGGGAAAACAAGACAGGAAAATGCACGGGGCTGGCTTCCTGTGATTTGGCATGCCAGCCAAATCAACAGATATGGCTCGAGGGTTTGCAGGCAAGGATGGAAGAATGGATGACAAGGGCGTTGCAATCCCCAAGAGGATGTTGGAGGATTGGTGAAAGAGATCTAGGGAAGTGGTGAAATTGTGCACAAAATTAATGCATTATGCAGTCTAACGACAGACAAAAGTTTGGGGCAAAATTTTCATAGGAAGTGTAAGAAAGGTTTCAAGGCTAGGTGGCGCAAGGTACCTCCAGATACAAAGAGTACAGCTGCTAGCATCCATTCATTCATCCATCTAGCCAAAGTCTAGCTACTATTACTAATACAGAAAACAGCTCGTACTACACATAGAATGTTTATGATGAAAATAATCCCTGGGGAAGGGGAACAAGAGGGACAAAGGACAAACACAAATCTCCAAACACAACTAGGTGACTGGTGCGCGACCGAAAAAATCCGCGTGGTCCGTGGATTATTTTCATCATTCGTGTTCCAGCTCTCTTGCACCTTTGCATTTAATTATATTGTTTATATTTTTAAAAACTGCAAGCGTAGTGAGTGCTCAGGCTAGCTGGTCAATCTTAGGAGGGTGGTGCAGTAATGTTTTGCATGGCGGCTTCCAGATTTAGTTTTTGGCATTCGTAAACTACGAAATATGCATTTGTTTCTCTCTCCACGCAATTGCAGGCGTAAAAAGAAATAATGAGGTGCCCTCAACTCGCAGCTAGGACAAGCAGCCACTTGACCTAGTTCGATTATGTGCTACCAGTGTTCATCATAGTCATGTGCTTAGGTTGGCTAAGCCACGACCTTCTCTATTCCTGATCTGCCCACCGAAGAGGGTGCCAGCACGGGCCTTGTAGTACATACCTTGGCTGCAGCATTTTGTCATGCCGTGCGAAACGCTACGTAAAGGTCTTTTTGTTTCCTAGGATATCAATCGAAGGCACGGAAGGCATGGTGGCGTTATCTGGTCTTGACCTTACTCTCAATCGGCTCTCCTTACAAGATCTCTTCGCTGGATGGGCGACAGATTCATCACTAGGGGCTCCAGGCTGCCAGCACAGTGGCTGCCATGGGCCACAAGTGATGCGAGAATGCGACTTATTTCACTGTTGACGTTTGCCAAAGTTGTTGGCACCATTATTGTACCAACAATTTTGGCAAACAGCGGAGATGGTGCTGCGGTATATATGCCAACCAGAGAGTTGGCTCTTAACAGGCGGCTTAATGGTTCCCTAGAGGCATTTCCCACTTTTCCACATGTGACTGGCATAGAGCATGGTAAGGTTAAAAGAAAGAATTAAGGGGGGGAGGCAGAGAAAGAAGGCATAAAAATGACAAGTTTTGAATGCTGCAAACACAGCACTGTTCAAACATAGAGGTTGATCTTGAAGAAAGAAGAGTCAAGGTGTGTTTCTCCTTGTGAAAGAATCAAAAGCTTTTGTGGCCTTTGCCTCTTCGTGTGGTTTGTTCCATGCACAAAGCACCAAGCTGCAGAAGGGGGCTGGTTACCCAGGTGTGCAATGTCGTGCAATGTCGTGCTTTCGAGGTTACTTTTTTGTTTCTATGCCAGCTATTGGAGGCCAACACTGGCCGCAAAGTGGGCATGAGGCCTGTTTCAGCATTCGATTGAGACTCATGCTCAGTGAATGAGTACATTTGTTTGAGCCGAACACCGATCCAGCACTCGTGTGACCCTCTTCTATTCCTAGAGTGCACTACAGGAAGTGACTAGGAGCCAGCCACATGAGACGATCTGCATTAAAAAGGTCAGACACACGCACCATCTCTGACACATCTAAGACGAAAAAGCATTGGGTGTTGATTACTTCTTTAAGGGGATTAGCAAGTTTCTTCAGGGCACCCCTCGTCCTCTTGTACCTCTAGCAATGTCACAAACTTGGAGTCATATCACAGAGCAACTCAAATTCACTCACAGTGGAGCAGTGAGGGTGAGGGAATGAGTCTGCGAGCGAGTTTGACAAAGTTATGATGTAGGGCAGGCTGTAAGGATGCACCCATTTCATGACCGACGTTTACTGGCAGCTTTTCGACCTTTCTCAGCAGCCACATTCAATACTCCATTCAGCTCTAGATGAAACATGATGCAAAACAACAACCTTTAGTGTAGTCTCCAATCTAAATAAAACGAAGCTCATGGCCGTCGAACCCTCGTTCGCTGCAAGCAAATAAAAATCCAGTAAACATTTCACACGGTTTTGCGAGAGGCATGGTTCGCTGCACCCAGTCGCAATGCTCGTCTAGCTGTGTCGGATCCCAAACACCTCTGTGGACCTCAAGACTAGCAGCCGTGTTGGGCAATCTTGCATCTTTATAATTCAGCTGGAAGGTTCCGTCGGCACTGGCGGAGGTCTAGACCACAGTGAGAAGGCCCTCGTTCAGTCTCGGCAGTTGGTGGAAGTGCCAAAACCAAATCGACTTTGCGGGCACTTTGCCCAGAACCGGCAAGGGGGCGGCAGCAGCGCCTCTTGAGTGAGTGTCCTTGAGATGTGACCGGGTTGTCTTTTTCCAGGGCTGGAGCCAGGTGAACCTGCAGAACTACTATCCAGAGTGCATCTACACGCTGGACTTCTCCGTCATGGTGCAGAGGAACAACTTCTCGGGCTTCTCCCGCAGCGTGAGGAGACTGGACGGGCTCAGGGGCTACCCGCCCAGCTGCGAGGACGCCTCTCCCGCTGCCGAGACATACCCCGAAAGGTAGCTATTTCTAGGGAGCACCGAAGCTTTCGTGGCTTCTGGGGCTTTTCGATTGTCGCGATAGCCTCCAGCAAGGTGGTAGCGTGGGCCAGCTGGTTCATCATGTTCAAATAAGCAAAGAAACGCAGGGATGGAGAGAGACTAAAATGGGACAAGGTGCACTCGCAACTAGGTTCATCGTCAAAAACAAAAATACGGGCCAACGAAAAAAAAGCAGTCGTTATCGTAGCGGCACCGAGCCTCTCTTTTCTTAGAAATTCAGACTCGGTTCGCGATAGGGCTAGGAGAAGCCTCGCCAACGAAGTCTTCTCTCTGGGTTTTTATTACTAAAGCTTCGTGCATATTCCTCAAAGTCATTTCCTTTGTATCTTGGTCTCCTCTTGTCCCCGTCTTTTGGCACTTTTCTCTAGTAGATGTCTAGGTAACCTGCGCCGGAACTAGCTTGCTGGGAGGTTGTAAATCGTCTTCTGCCACACAGCCCTTTGGCGCAGGAAAGGGCCGGGGAGTTTAGGGCCAAGAACGAGGTGACCCTTGTCTCAATACGGCGCCCAAAACGCGTGCCCGACCTGTGCGTTTACCACATCCTGAAAGGCGGTTTTTCGTTCTGCCCAACTACATCGTAGAAGCGTCCCTTTGTCGCTGGCCCCGACCCTGGTGGCGTGATGGTAGCGGCGGTGGATGTGGCAGACACCCGTTCGGCTGCGGGTCGCTCTCCAGCTCGAGAGTCGACAAAAGCTTCAGCGGCCGGAAGTCGCATTCTCTCGCGATTTCCTCTGCAGCTCGTGCGCCCAATCACCAGGACCGCGACGTCCAACAGCGCGACGCTCCGGCTTTTGCGACGTCGTTTGTTGCCGCTTCGGGACCACGTTGGATGCGCGGGCGGGATAGGATGCCAATTGCACCGGTCGGACACGCGTTATGGGCGGCGTAGCCTTGGCGGTTGTGTGGTGGCTGGCACGTAGATCAGCTGGACGCCCGGTCGCCTCCACTTTCTGTCGCTCCTTTGGCTGAAGAGAGCCGTTCCGAATTTGGTTGAGAGGGCGTCTGTCGGTCAAAGGGGCCGTAAAACGATGTTGGGTTAAAATTTTAGTGGCTGCTAGTAATCGGCTAGTAGGGCAAGACAAAACTAGCGCGGGCGCCAGGGAGCCAGAAATGTGACTTTCGTTGCGAAATATTGAAAATTAATGTAGGTGATTTCTCTTTCCTTCTCTCTTTCGCGAGCAAACTTTTCTGCCTTGTAAGTGTGAGGTAACCCAATGCCAAACCACGTAAGCGAAGCGCAGCTCACGAATTGATTTGCGCGCTGCATCATTTAGGCTGCACGTAATAACCATACATCTGTCGGAGAACATTCAGCTTTGCATGCTGGGCCAATTTGTGCCTCGGCAGATATCAAGGCTATAAAGTCAACTCTAGGAAATTCAGTGCTCACAAGGTGAGCGAAATGCTTCAAATTGAGCAAACTTTGAATTAAAAAGTACTCTCAAACCTCAAGTTTCTTTTGTTTATTGAGGACGCACTCAAAAGTTGAAGGTGAGCATTTTTCTTGCAATTTAGACATTACTGGAAGTATAAACACAAGAATGGACAGAACCTCCACTGATGGAGACATGCTGCAGTAACTAAGCTCTGTGTATTGCAAACCTTTCTTAAGTGTTTTCACTATTTTTTTTTTGCTGAAGTAAAAGATTTTTGTGATGTCTAATGCAGTTTTTGCATCAGCGGCACTTTGCACAGAAAGTGACTGTTCCCAGGCCTAACCACTGGCACAATTTCATTGTTTTAAAACGAATCACAGACGACGCCGTCTTTGTTTACATCAATATATTCGATGGATGAAACGTCTCCGAAGGCTGAGTAATTCCTCAATACGGTCTAGCCGGATTATAACGAAGTCGACAAGAATCACAAATTTCTTCGCTATACTGCCACCCGCAGCTTGGGTGGCCAAGCTGCGGCTTGCGAGCCGCATGCGGCTCTTTGCGTGTTAAAGTGCAACTCATGGCTTACTTGACCTTCGAACCATCATATATTTTACTGTCCCTTGTTTGGCTTAGTTTTTACTTTCTTTCCTTTGCTTCGTCGCTTACTACCACCGGTTCACCTGCTACGCTATGCCCGGACATTTGGAGGGCCGTCTGCAACTTTTTTGTTGTTCTTGTTGTTGCTTTTCCACTGTCGTCTGTGATTACCTCCTTTGTTCCCCTTCAATTGAGTTTCTGATCCGAAATCTTCATATGTACTTTTTGATACTTAATAAATATATTAAGAAGTGTAAGCTTGTTATACATTTTAATTCGGATTTTATTGGAGTATGCGGTCACGTCTGCTACGAGTCATCGTTGGTTGATCAACCAGCCGCCTTCGGGCATACACAAGCGCATACTTGGAGATGGCAGGCATGCCATGTGCCTGCCACCTCCACTGCGAAAACAAGTTATTCTGATGTGGTGGAAAATCCTTCTTCCGCTTCCCGAATACCGAACAAACGTGAGTAATAAAGTTACTTCAAATTAAACTGGAAGAGCTATCCAAGTCTGGCTTCAAAATCGCCACTGACGCCTCAACAGACGAATATTTCACCAAGCAAAAGTTCAGCTGAAAATGCACTTGAGGCCACTGATCGACACTCAAAAGAAAGGCACAGTGTGCAAGGATTGCCTGGACATGTACGCCAACAAGTACTGGAATGTACTTTTGAAGTGCTGCGCCAAGCGACCAAACAAACAACCTGCCAAAGTCACTGGGAAAAGAAAAACGAAAGCAAAAAAGGTCATACACTGCTAGCACGTAGCAGATTGCAGCACTTTTGCTCTTAGTTCCTACTGACGCCAAGCCGGCGCAGCCGTAGCCTTGGCTATTGTAACGTGCTACGGGCGCCCGAGCGAGCGAAGAACCGAGAAAAGAGCGACTGATGGCGAAAAAAAGGAGAAACGTAGGATGACGTCATGGCGACGTCAAATATGTGGATCACCCACTCTGGCAACTAGGACGGGTACAGCCGCTAACATCCATGTTCTCTCGGGGCGCTCTTTCTGCGCTCAAGCGTAGGGTTCTTGTTTCCGCCGCCTCAAAACATGGCGTTACAATCGCCGCCTCTACTTGCCCCTAGATGGCCCAAGTTGTCCTGTCATGTCGTAGGCGGCCGGTTCGCTGCCGCGCGTTTCTCCCCCCCCCCGTTTGCTTGCCTGGTTTCATTTCTTCTCGATTTCATTCTCGTTTTCTGGGGCTTTTATTTATCTTTTTTCATAAACCAGTGTAGCGCAACTTCAGAGAAGCTGCTCCTGAAGTGGGTAGGAGGCAAGGCACAATTTACTTTTTATACTTCTTTATTATTTACACAGATCTCATACATAAAATGGAAGATATATACAGATAATAAAATTTACGGAACAACAGAACAGATGGCACGAAAAGCACGTAAGAGCACAATGAAAGAAATATACATTTATAAAAAATATCGCACCACCACAGTTTTGATCAGCAGAAACTTCAATGTTTTGTAGACAAAAGATACAAATTTTTTGTTACTCAGCTGATGGATGACTTGTTTTATGGTTTTTGTGCTTTCCTATCAGCTGCAGACCTTTTCAAATGAGGGTTTTGCAGATCTCCTCTTTTAAAAAGGCATAAATTCACCAAGGTTCATAGCAGAACATCTGGAGGAAGTTCTAGCCGATTGCTGGACAGAGAAGGTCTTCGACTGTTCTGTCATGAAAGCACTAAGATTCTTCATCACATCATCATTGTATACCAGATAGAGAATGCATGCCAGCACTCATGCTTGCCCACAAAACTAAGGCAAGGGTCTGTGGGCAAAAAGAGCGCACCAAAAATGCCTGTGTCATCCTGTGCACTTAGCACGTGGTACGGTTTCATCTGCCTGCGAATTTCAGGTGCAATGTCGCTCATAGGTAAGAAAAAACAAACGTGTGTTAGGTAAGTGCTGTGTTCACGGGGTTTCTGCTGCACAAGACTGAAAATCGCAACCAGGATCGCACAACATGAAATGGGCTTGAAACAAAAAACGAAACATTACCTCTCGCTTAGGAACTCCTTTGGGAATAGAAAGAACGACAAGACCTTCGGCTTGCTGGAGTTCTTGCACCATTTCACAGCGCAGTAGCGCTAAGGTATCCTCTTCTGAAAGCACCAGAACTTTCAAAGTCAAAATAGCGCGGACCGAGCAAACACCACATTTTCCGCAGAACACTCAGAGCAGACGATCACGCTCATCAGATGTCGGCGACCGTTGCACCGGTGGCACCGGTTGCGCCATTTCCATGGCCACCGGCCCGGCGGCAATGTCGATCGTAACGCCATATTTTGAGGCGGTGGAAACAAGAACCCTATGCTTCAGCGCAGAAAGAGCGCCCTAAAGTAACACGGATCTTAACGGCTGTACCCCTCCTAATGGCCGGAGTGGGTGATCAACATATTTGATGTCATCGTGACATCATCCTGACTCTTGGTGGCCTCTACCGAGGTTTCCTTGAACGCCGCGAAAGCAAATAAACAAAAGTGTAACGTGCAGCTAAAAAAAGAAAAAAAGTGAGGCTCTTTTTGGTTGTTTTTTAATAGTTTCGTCGTGTTTCTTCCGCTTTGCTTGTTGTGGGCTCGACACCGACAACGAGCACCACCTGCTAATTTTCAATGCTCCTACCGACGCCCCGTGCGATCGTCGCCGTTGTTCGCGACTGTTCTCCATTTCTTTTTATTTTCGTCTGGGATAGGGACCCCATCTTTTCTGCAAAGTTCGGAAAGTGTTTGCACGGTCATTTTTCTCATTACTTTGCAAACGGGCTGACCGTAATGCTTTGCAAACGGGCTGACCGTAATGCTTTGCAAACTTGCTGACCGTAATGAATTGCTTCAGCTGTTGGGGTGAAAAAACGGAGCTCGCAAAGCTCGAGGACGTTGCGGAGCCTATACTTTTTCATTGCGTCGTCTGCTTCCGTAGACTTCGAGTCCGATAGAGGCATCACTGTCACATTCGCCACCGCTCCCATAGGTTTTCGGAGGAGTTTCCAGTATTGGCGAAGCTATATCGTATTTGGCTTAGCCGCGCCATTATTTCAGGAGTTCCTTGAAAAGAAAAAAACCTTTCTCGCAGCTGCGTGGCAGATGTCCTGAAGCAGACGGGCTGGGCCCACGGTCCCGCTAGCCAGGCATCACAAAACCAGAAGGTGCCCCAAAACACGCCGTCCACACAAAGGTAATCGACGTCGGGGAAGCATGCCGTTTACGACAGTTACGGGGTTTGGAGGGGCCTTGTTACGGCGCCCGACATGCGGTGCCGGCTAATGTGCCTAGCACCCTATACCGCCTGCGCATCGAAAGGCGTCCCGAAGTGGCAACAAACGACGTCGCGTAGGCCGGAGTATCGCGCTGCCGGGTGTCGCGATCCTGGCAGTTGAGCATAGAAGTTCCGGTGAAAAGCATGAAAGAGTGCGAGCGTCGCCGTCGTCGCGGCGTCCCAAACTGTGAGGTTGCAGAGCCGCCTGCAGCGGAGTCTCCCGCACCCACCACTGCCGTTGCGACGCCACCAGGATTGCGACCGGTGACGACGTGGCACTCTCGCGACGTCGTCGGGCGGAGATCGAGGGGCCACTTTTTGGGACGCCGTAAACGCGTTGGTCAAAGACATGTTCCAGGCACCACTACCTCAAGTGAACATGCCTGTGGGGTCCTCGTTGCAGGCAGCCCAGGACGCGCCGCAAGAGGCTCGCCGAAGCTGCCCCGGCGGAACTGCCGATCAAGACCGGCCCGGCCGAAGGACCCCCCGGTGGGTGCTCCGCTCCTCTGAGTAGCTCTCGGGGAACACGGGGTCGATCGGACTGGCAGTTCAAGAACAAAAGAGAGATTTCCCGATCCTGGACACTTCTTAGCGTTACAGTCCTTTTTATAAATGGAGACAGCCGTTGCTGGTAAGGTTTTGCGTAGGGTCCGGCAATTGGTCAATAGGTTTGTTAGGGTTTAATGGCCCAAAAGCAGCTTGGGCCATGGAGCGCCAAAAGCGGATCCGGCCTGTGTACCGTGTGGCTTTGCCGATCGCAGTATCGCTCAACGTGACACCGACGTCGAACAACGCGTTCCCCCCCTCCCCCCCCCCCCCCGGTTACATTTAGTGGAGAAATCTCGCCGCAGTATTTAGCAGCTGAATTTTCCGGCCAAACTAAGCGTGGAACTTGCGACGTCGGGGGCAGCGTTTTCCCGACAAATTTAACGGGGAGGGCAAACGTGGAGCTTTTCTTCTCTAAATTTGGCGCGGAACTTGTGACAGCGTAATATTTTCGCTTTTTCCGAATTTTAAATTGCGGTCGGTAGCCTGTGTGCAGTAGAATGTCCAAAGCCTCGGCTGTTGCCACAGAAAAAATCTTGCGGAAAGGAACCAGCAGTTTTTTTTTATCAGTCCACCAGATCCCATGTCCCGACAAAACTAGCTCATCTGCCTACTCAATTGTACCCCCCATTTTGCAGCGGAAACGATCGGTATGTACACTTTCGTAATGAGACGCAGAACAAAAATGGCGCGTAAGTAAATGTGGAGAGTCGACCGCCATCTGACATCGGCCTTCTGACATCTTGCTGTTGGGGCCTTCGTCTCACCCTCTTTTTTGCCACCCTCTCGGGTCGTGTGTTGGACGTCACCTGACAAAGTAATGTTCTTGTTGCGGTCATGCATTGGGTCTTTCCCAGCAGCTTCGTTTTTGCTTGCCGGTAAACTGTCGCATGCATGCCGACAATTTCAATACGCGCCATCCATCGTTCGGAGCGTAGGCGTGATGCCACGCGAGATGACATAAGTGATGACTTTTTTCATCTGCTTTTTTTTTCTGGATGAGCGGAATTTTGTAAACACATTCATGCATTGTTTACCAAGGCAGCTTTTTCTCTGTTTGGTCTTTACGGGAAGTAAGGTGGTTTTTGGCGGAGAACATAACCCTGAACGGTGCTCTGAAAGTTTCTGCGATCAACCCTCAGGGGATGATCGTGACAGTTCTGTGAATGAGAGGGATAAGGAGAGCCTTGTGGAGATTGCCATTTCTCCAAGCTAGAAGTTCTACACAGATGCAGACCAAGATTCTGAAACACTACCTCCTTGTACTGGCCAACATCCAACATTTTCGGCTGTTGTTCACAGGCGATTTGGTGCTGAATTTAATTTTACGATCACTAAATTATTGTATTGTTTTTAGTGGAACCCGTGTACCGTAATTCCGGTGTATAGTCCGTGGACTGTACATGTTTAAAAGTTTAAATTTTACCCGACGCAGACTATGTACAAGTGCAGGCTATACAAGGATTTGTTTTTTTCTAGATCGTTCACTGTGACAAGACATAAAGGATTTTATGAGTAACAAAGTGTATTAATGTTGTTGTATGTATGATTCAATCTTCTCTGTGAGCTAATACGGCAGGCATTTGTCAAGGTGTGATGTGTATGATAATTTTTCCGTTCGGACTGGGCACTAGAGGTGCAAATTATGCACAGCGTGCGGCCTATGTATCGGAAGCGGACTATAGTCCGGAAAATATGGTACTATGTCACCCTAGAAGGTTATAAATGTTTTACTGTAGTTGTACCTGTTGGCCATTAGGGGGAAAGCACACAGCCAGCTCATCGGGGAAACGTGTTGGCTCATTCTGACCAAACCTCAGAATAGACCCATTTCGAAGCTCAGTCTAGCAACCTTCATCACTATCATCATCTCAGTGTATAGCATCTGTGCCAAACTACAAGGAGGCCTTATTGAGGTTGACGAAGGAAGAAATTAATACGACCATGTTGTAATTATGTCAAGAAGACATCAGTACTACACGACGCACGAATTAGTCTGCGTCGGCATTTATTTCAAAGTGGTACAATCAATCTCTTGGACGCAACTTTAGGTGTAAAGCCTTTTGACGGCAGAAATTTAATCGAGGGGCTTACGCGTCGCCACGTTGTACTTTCAGCTCTAACGGTAACACCGTCAAAACCGAAACAAATCGAGAAAGACTTACGAAGTGATCGAAGAGCCAATCCTCACCTGCCATCGATCTGCGAAAGTGACGGTGCCCGATAGCATGCAGTTTCGTGACCGCCATTAGTTTGTCGAGAGTGAAACTGCTTTTTAAGCCACCAGACGGCACTAAATTTGGAAAAGAGTCGAGGTTCGGGTAATCTCGCATTGGACCGAGCAGTGGGAGGGGCCTGTTGGTTGTGGAACGAGTGTCCGAATGTCCCCGTGCCCGTGCAGGTGGCAGCGAGGAGTTCCTCTCGGCGCACACGCTGGACGTGGGGGACCCCGTCCCGGAGGTGAGTGTGGCCGGTCCCGCATCTCCTCTTGCACGTCTCACAGCGTAACTTCCCCGTCTCTGGGAGCGTCCCCATAGATTGTATACGGATCATCAGCCACGCCTCCGCAGCTCCGCCCGATCCGGGTGCACTCACTGGCTACGTCGCTAGATCAAAGTCGGTCGTCGAGCTTCTTGGGATGCCCGGCGCCTTTTCGTGGTGCATCCACCCGATGGCGCTCTCTACACTGTCGGCCCAGCCCATGTGAACGGGAGCGGCGGAACTCGCGAAACGTTCGATGCACGTTGCCTACGGCGGAAAGTGACTCTTTCTTGGTTCTTATGGTGAGCGTATAGCTTTCGCAAAAAAGAGTGTCTTACGAAAATGCTCCTTCTCCATCGCTCGTGGGAGTGGTGCCGCAGGTGGCAATAGGATTGCCGTCCGCCCGAACCCGCTCGCGTGCAGGCAACGGAAAAAGACTGTTTTCGAACGACGTCCTTTTGTGGAGCTCGTCAACTGAGATCTAAGAATGTTGCTCACTGGCATGCTGTGAAACACATTTATTGGCGAAGAGAGTGCAGAACTTGGTTTGAAGTATGGCGTCTGGTTAACAACGTCGACTGCGGGGTTTTCCAAACTTGAAGTAGATCTCTCTAGGAGCTCGGACAGCGTCCAGAGCGAATATAGGACGTCTCAAAATTTTCCCGCAGAAATTTCGAAACAACCCTGGTTGCAGCTTCCTTTCAAAGCCAGATCCTAGCCTAGAAACAAATCCTGAAAGAGAAAGCAAAAAAAGCAAAAGCCGTTTACAACCCCCTGTAACACCGAATTAGAGCGCAGCTCTTGAGGAGGAGGGGGGAAGGGTAATGAAGGTCACGTGTCTTCGGGGGGGGGGGGGGGGGGGGGGGGGCTCACGTGTCTTCGGGGGGGGGGGGGGGCTCACGTGACATTGGGGGGGGTCACATGACCTGGGGGAGGGGTCACTGACCTTGGGGGTCACGTGACAACCCCCCCCCCCCCTTGAGGTCACGTGACCTTAGTGGGGTCATGTGACCTTGGGGTAGGGGGACGTGACCCTTCCCCCTTCCCCCGAGGTCACGTGAACCCCCGACATGTCCTCGGGTGGGGGGGGGGGGGGGGTCACTTGACCCCCCAGGTCACGTGACCCCCCAGAGAAATTTTTCCGCTAGATTTAGCGGGGAAATTTTTCTTCTAAATCTAGCATGGAAATTTTTCCACTAGATCTAGCGGGGAAATTTTTCCGCTAGATTTAGCGAGGAAATTTTTTTGTTAAATTTAGCGGGAAAATTTTTCTGCTAAATTTAGCGGGAAATTTGTCCGCTAGATTTAGCGGGGAAATTTTCGCGCTAAATTTAGCGGGGAAATTTACCCATAGTGCACCGCGCGGTTACGGCGACGGCGACGGCGACGCCGCTCAAGCCGGGAACGGGCGCCTAAGAGCTGCGCTCTAAAAGAGCAAGACGAGGCATTGATGTCCAGGGACGCGTGACCGCGAGCTTGGAACTTTTTTTTTCTCCTTCCAGCCCAATAGTGTGGATGAGTGGGCTTCTTACTTTGGTGAACCGTAGCTTTTGCCATTTGTCCGAGTTACACAAAAAGGGAGTGTGGCGGTTGGCAGCCCCTAGAGGCTGCCCAGCCCCGAGCGCCGTCCCAAGGAGGTACCCCGTGTGCGCAGGAGGACTGCAGCATTTGCCGGGAGCCCCTGTGTCAGCCGTCAGCGTACGCCGGCAGCGGCCGGGTGGTGCGACTGCGCCGGTGCAGCCATCCCCTTCACCACGCCTGCCTGGTGGCCATGTGCCAGAGCAGCCCTCAGGTAGGCATGCCCGGGACTCGAGTTTGGGCGCGGAAGCGTGAAGTTGCGGGCTGTCTCATTGGCAATCACCGGAGGTTTGATTTTGGTCGAGGTAAAATTAAAAGCGTTCTCGGCTGCCATTTCATTGTGGCGCCACGGCTCGTGCATAATCAGCCTACGAGACATTTTGGCTCGTTTGCGAGCTCGCAGTTGGGTCACGTTTTGTTGAGAATGTGTCACCAATGTACCAATAGCGAGACAAGCTTCCTTTTCCTCTGTCGTGCCTGCCCTTAGTGCTCCCTTGTCTACTGGTCAACGTCGGCTTGTGGCCGGCAGCATAACAACTTATGATTTGTGAACGAAAAGTGGGTTGTCAGTGGCTTTCGTCGTGAAATGGCGAATGATTGCAATTTCAACCTGCGTGCGATCTCACTTCATTACGGCACTCGTTTCGGAGCGGACAATAGGCTTTTTTTTTCGCTTTGTTAGCAGACGACATACTGTGTCGCCTTGTTTTATTTCCGTCTGCGAGTGACGCTTCATAGCAGACGGACTGCATTCTTTGCTCGCGTTAGCAGACAAGCCATCTATGAACGGTATTTTTACTCGCTCCGCAAGAGGCCGATTACATCTCACTCTCGCTCTTGCTGTAACCGAAATCGGACCCCAGGTGAGGCATGGGGGCTGACGTTGGACCGCCAATGTCTGTCTCCATGCTCCTGCCATTTCAGTGTGGCCGAAATGAACGGGAATGCGGCGGACCACTTCCTCTAGATTTATTGGTGTCTTGTCTCGTTAACGTGCATGCTTCTGCTTTCAGGATAATATTCCATAATGTGAGGCTTGGTAAAAAAAGACAGTGTTAATTTAGAACAATGTCTTATCCCCTTGAGTGGCAAGGGAAGTGTCCGGCCTTTGTTTTTGTGGACAAGAGCTACACACAACCTACAAATGTTTTTCAGGTTTGTCATCTGCGGCTGTGTCGCCCATAGGGAGCAAAAAGCAAGTGACCTATTTAGCCGGGAGGCCCCTAAAAATGGAACCATTCTTAGGTGCTCAGGTCTTATCTTTTTCTCAGGAAGAGCAAGCAACATCAGAAACCAGCGAAGCTCTATGTATAATTTTTACCCTGAAAGCTTCACTCTAATTTTCTTCTTTTTTTTTTTTATCGTGGACTATGTATATCCAAAAAGCTTGTGCCCATATACCGTAGAATACCGTGCATCCGCCCACTCTACAATAAGTGCCCACATCCAAATTTCTAAGATCTGAGAAAATATGCACAGTACATTTATATGTAAAATTCATGACCGGACAAGCGCCCATCCCCCCCCCCCCCCATTTTTTGCAATTCTCTCTACATTTTGAGTGTGCGCTTGCCCGGTATTTTACAGTAAATAAAACAAAAATGCATGTTTCCCCATTTGTTCCCAAACTCGGTGTCCATAGTTTGAACTGCAGGTTTCTACCGTAATATCCCAAAAGATGGACGTCCCCCGAAAGGTAACCCTCCCATATTATTGACATAATTTGCTATAGTTTTTTTCAAAAACGCCGAAAGACAGCTTTTTTCTAGTAATTTCAGCTCCCTGGCCAATGGTAACCTCGGCCGAAATGGGGTTAGTTAGCTACGGTGTTAGATAAGCAAACATAGTAGGTGACTAGGAAGGACAGTTGCCTATGCTTCATTGCTCCTCAATGTGAAAACATCTCTGAAAGATTGCAGAATACAAAAATAGCATTTTGCTTATTTTTTCTCGATCGCACACCGGAAGTTTGCCCACTCCTCATTTCCCCCCCGATTTGCTCTCGCTTTTGGCTGGGCTGTCTCTCGGGACACAACGAGGCAGAAGTGTACAGGGACGGATGGGTCCCCGAAACGTTTGCCCATTCGGCGGGCGATCCATATTAACGAGGCACGACTGCGCGTGGACTCTGTCTTAGGCAGGCCACCTGCAGTGTCCCGTGTGCAAAGCCCTGCACGGGGTGAAGAGCGGCAACCAGCCCCCAGGCCACATGAGCTGCACTCTGCTGCCGGTCTCCCTACCAGGCTACGAAGGCTGTGGCACCATCCGGGTCAATTACCACATCAGCCCCGGCATACAGGTAGGTACCTTCGGGCAGAGGCAAATGTGGTAAGCCCGACTAAGAATGAAGCCGACATGACGGCAAAATAATTTGATCGATGATAAGTAGTAATTCGGTAAAAGCGGGGGAGCCATAAAAACGGTAGCGGTACACTCGGGAGTGCAAGGAAGCACCGGCAAAGCCTCGGAATAAATATTCGATCAAACAACTCTCGCCGATTGGCGACTTGACGGAATTTTTACCGAGGTGTAAAAAAATAACGAGTGAGAAGATGTCGCCAAGCAATTTTGGCACGCATCACTAGCGCCTCCTCCAGCTCCTCGATGCACGAGACCGCAGTCGCCGCCGCCGCACTCCACGTAAGTTGCAAAGCAACCAAAGGACGTCTCACATCTGCGGTCGTTGTTGTTTCGAAACGTTTTTCATCGCTCGAGGCTCTCTGTCCGACGCCTCTTCGTCTTCGCCTTGGCCGCACACGAATCCTTGGTGCAAGCGTCAATGGGAACGTCCACATCAGCGACCTCAAACGAATCGAAGTCATCCTCGGGCACTTCCCTGACAATTTCGAGCACACTCCTGAAGAGAATCATGCTCTTGTTGCAGCCTTGGGAGCCACCTGCAGGCTCGTCAAGCACACGCATGCGAGAAGATACAACGTGCACAAAGCTAAAGCGGGCGGATTTGGCCAGTGAGCGGAGGACGCCGGAGAGGCACGTTTGCTTCACTTGATGGAGAAGCACGTGATGTCACACGCGACGTCACGTGACTCCCAAAGGGGCGGTCTCTTCACCATCTTTCCTCCGGTCCGATCTGGACAGAAGTCGAGTGAGTCGGTGAGTGTCGGAGTCTGCTGCGGGGTGTCAACTCGGAACAGGGACGTGTCTCTCTAATGCATCGCCGCAATGATGAAAAAAAAAAAAAAGGGAAAAACCAGTCGCTCACGTCGCTGCTGCGGCGCGTGACATGCTGTGGCGGTTGCTTGTGTTTTGCTTTCGGTGGCTTGTCCCTTTTAAAGGCGAACACTTAAAATAATCCTGTTCAAAATGCATGCGCCTCGATCGGCATTGCGTTCTGGGGATCGTGGTCGCAAGGGGGCCGTGCATGGGCCCGCGAGGGCCAAGGGAGAACGAGACGAAAATGGCACAGGGCAGAGCGCGGGTAGCGATCTCGAGAATCGTCGGCAATGGAACGGCAAAAGGTCAGGGCGCTACCTTTAGCTCGTCCAACTGTGAGACAAAAAAGCCCTTTGTACCTTGCGTCGCGAGATCTCCTTCAGGGCATTCGAGGGGGGACCCGATCGGGCGTTGGCTTTTTTTGCATAAACACCCAAAGCAGCGCATGTCGCAGTAAACAACTTAATATTGTCAGTAGTGAGAGCAATTGTATATATAGGGTGTTTAATTTTAATTTGAACAGATTTTATATAAAAAAGTTAAAGTAAGACGAGTGTCATTTTCACGATGTATATCAGGCACGGGGGAGATTAAAGGGCAACCCCGCTTAATTCCGAAAAATTGGGGATAATGAGTGATTTCACATTAAAAAGCACTAATAAAAGACACTATCTTATTTGTTTTGCAAAAAATGGGATATATTGTTAAATCTTACTTTAAACGTGAGCAGAAATCGAAACCGAAACTTCGGCTCCATCTGGCAACATTGCCCTCTGGCCGCCAAAAATCCAGTAAGCTGAGATCCCTCGATACAAAGGGCTTAGCCGCATATCCATATCCATATCCACACATGGCTATCACGTGGTACAAGATGTTGCATGATTGTCTATGCAACGAAGGGCAAAATCGGGGCAGCCCGGCGGGCCACCTACGGGCGGGCGTGTACCAGGCGCAAGTGTCATCTGCACTGCATTCTTCATTTTGTTTTGGTGTCTACGACATTCATCGACGTCTGCACAACTGCGGCATCAGTCTGTGCGCGTAGTGTGAACGAAGCTCGGAGAGACAGTAATCACGAATGGTGAAACGACGACGACAGTTGTGACGCGGGACACGGCCGTAACGTTGGTACGGCCGGACGGCTCCCAAGAAGCTCTCTGCGCAGGTGCGTTACCTCAGTTGCGTGGACACCGCTAAGTGCAGAGAGGAAACGTTGCTGACGTAGAACGTTACGCTTTCCCAGACATGTAAAAAAACGAAAAGGCAATGGTGATGACGTTTAGCTCAGTGTTGGCTACGCCCATGTCATAGCCTTGACTGCGCTGTTGGTTGCGCCTCAATTAGCCCGCTAGAGTCAGCCGATTTCGGCAACTTGGAGCGTCGCAAAGTTCAGCGGACCTTTTAAGAAACATTTAGACAGAACTAGGTCGTAATATTTGTCATGTGGTCTTCCTAAATGATACTAAAGAGGACAGCATTGTTGTTTTTTTTCCGAAAACAAAAATGAAGCGGAGTTGTCCTTTTAATGTGTGTGTAAAAGAGGTTTATATCCGTCTCGTCTCGTCTGGTGACGTGAAGTCTCTCGTTGTCTTCGGGTCTGTGCTGACGTCGTTGTCGCCGATTGCCAGTCAAGGGTCTCTTCTCTTGGGTTTTAGTGATGTCGGGATCGTAGACAATTTTAGGGTTGAATAACTTGGTTTAATATGCAGGTATTATACACAAAAATTACAACATAGTTAAAGTTCGCTAGTTCTCAAAACTCGATGGCCTCTGCCGTTTAACTCTCTAAATGACACCTCTGCACTTTATCTACTCGATTTTCCGCATCGCTCTCGATGGGACTTTTATCTCCACTCCTCCTGCATCGCTCTCGATGCGTCTCCTTTGAAATCTCTTAGTTGACTTTCCTTTCTCAACTCTCCTGCTCCCAACATAGCTACCCTCGTTTCTCTCTCTCTCTCTTTCATTCTCTCCCTCTGAAACACATTCTCGTCTTCGTGGTACGGCTACACAAACCCCGACAAGCAAAATAATAAATGAGTGCAGTTGACGCTATCCAAAACGAAACGGCCCTCCGCCGCCGACTCTGTAACATTAAAATCATCGACCCTTACAAAAGCACATTAGCCGATTCCCGGTACAACCCCGAAAGGTCGGCAACACGAAAGGGACGTGTCATCAACGGCATAAATCGCGTACACAAATCAGTACACATTCCGAACGAAGCTGTCAAGAGCAGCTAAAATAATAAAAAGCACCTCCGTACACGGAGAAGACGCGGCACCCGCACACGGGTGTAAGGTTACAACCTTCACGTTCGCGCCTCCACTTGGGGCCCATTAACTCCGGGAGGGGAAACGCGCCGTGCCGTAAAGATGCTGGAACCCCCGAAGAAAGCAAAAACATAGAAAATAACACGACAGTGTGGATAATAGTCCTGGTAAGTTGACTAATTAACTAACCTTTGTTCAATTAATTTTTAATGATTGGTTTTAGGGATCATGTTGCAGTTTCGAAATTGATGGCAATTACAATTAGAGGCCAGACAAGTTGAAATAATGTGCAAAAATTTATTGTTGTTTTTAGCAGGGTGTCGAACCGGAACCGAAAACCGGAACCGAACCGGTATTTTTTCCGGAACTGAACCCGAACCCGAACCGTTATATTGTTATCGCGATGAACCCGAACCGGAACTGAACCGGAAAAAAAATTAACGATTACCAGCTCATGTCAAAACGGTTCGGCCACGCGCTGTTGACAATGGATGTGCTATCAATGCCATTTGTTTTTTAAGTGCCGTCAACTGACACAGACCTCGCTTACATATTTTTCTTCTCCACTCAGTCTTAGGAATATAAACGCTGCATCCATCAATCTTGACATAGGAACCAGTATTACGCTGGTCGCGGCTTGCACAGAGAAAAAAAAGAATTAAAAGGCTGTGCAAAAAAAAAAAAAAAAATCGCGTCACGGGATTTTACTTTTTTACAATCTCGTAAATCCTAAATGCTGCTGTGTGCTCATTTCATAACACGTTTCTAGAACGCGCGAGTTCTTGAAGCTTGCTTCCATCGGAATGAGAAAAGAAAAGGCTGTGGAGTTTGATAATAATGCATCCGGTTTCGTATAGGCACTTAGAAGCTAACATATTTGTGAGACAGTGAACTCGAAGTGTTTTTCATATTCCGTATCTTGTTTAATGAAAACTTTTTTAAGGGTGTAATTTGAGTTACCGAAGGCTAGTTCAAATAAAGAAAGCTGTATTTTCTCCCCACTGTTCCTTCAATTGCTTACACGCCGAGGTGGCGGGATAGTTAGCGAGTTCTACTTGTAAGTGGGTTTGTAAGGAGGTTGCGGATTTTACAGCTACTGCGTCGGACCCAATTAGATGAAGTCCGAATGCATAAACGTCGGTGAGGTAACCTTTGCGTGCACATAAAGAAACCATTCCTGGTAGAAATCCCTGAGCCTAACACTACGATGTGTCCCGTTTCGTATGTGCTGATTTCAGATGTTTTATTTGTAATTTATTTTGATGTTGCAATTTGTCATTTATAATTTCCGAACCAGTTCGCGAACCGGTTCAGCGCCCCGAACCGGTTCGCGGATCGAATTAATCGAACCGGAACTGAACCGGAACAAAATAAATTTACCTGAACCTGAACCGTAACCGAACCCATATTTTTTTCGGTTTGACACACTGGTTTTTAGATATTAATACATTTTCACATTTTCTAGCCAGATTTAAGAAGTTACGCTCAAAAAGCACGCCGCAAGCCTAACCCACAATGACGCTTCAGAAGAGTGACGTAATAGTTGTTTCAGTCAATTAGTCACTTGTGTCTGCATACCCACCAAGGACACTGTGCTGAGGTAGTGACGACGTGATTGAAACGACAAGGTCTCTCTTCTAAGCGTAATTGTGTGCAAGGCTTGCTGCACATTTTTTGTGCTAAATATTTATTTAGGGTTAAAAAATGTGAATATTTATCAGTTAATGTCTAGAAAACCATTACATTTTTGCAAGTTCTTTCAATTGGTTCAGCTAGTAAATGCCATCAATACTGCACTTGCAACATGACCCCTAAAAACAATGACTAAGAAGTGAATTAACGAATTTTAGTTAATTGGCCTAGGCTACTTGCAATGGCAATTATCCTCTGACGTAATGTTCGCCGAGCATGGTGACAATGGCAGTTGTCTAACTCTCACCCCCTTTTTCTAAATAAAGTCTTTTCAAATTAAAATCAAACACTCTTTATACTTTATCCTGAAAACCTTATCGTTTACAGAAATTAAAAATGGCAGGGGCATCGAGGCCCTGGGGAACGCTAGAAGTAGATAACTGGTCTCGCCAATTTCGAAACCTTTTCCGGCGACACCTCGTGACCTTGACGTGTCCTTGGCAGGGCCCGGAGCATCCCCACCCAGGGAGGCCCTACACTGCCCGGGGCTTCCCCCGCCGCGGCTACCTGCCAGACAACGACCAGGGCCGGCAGGCAAGTGCTCCCCATCCCCCAAGGTTTCCTAGACAGCAGGACCGAATTGCTGAACTCTCCTACGTCACCTACTGAGGGCCGTGCGAGTCACGCATTCTACACGAGTGCTGCGTCAGCATTCAGCCATCACTTGTGTCCTCGCTGATGATTGAGTCCCGGCCGAATGTTTACGCAGCACTGGTGTCCAACCTGTACCTCGCAGACGCCTCGGCGGACGACGTAAAAATTGCGGTACCACGACGTTATCCGGTAGGCGTTTGCCTCGGGCACAAAGTTGTATGTGTCCTCATTTGGACAGGTCAAGTGTCCGAGAGAGGTGCGTCATCCCCGTTAAGGGCAATGCGACACATTCCTGCATGCAGTAGAACCGTGGAGGTTTCCTGTAGCATGGTGAAGAATTGAGCCATTTGGCATACATTGAACACAATGAAAATCTAGCAATGCTCAGAAATGTTTTTATCTTTCACGTACTGAACTGCAGTCAGTGTCTGACGTATCTCGTAACGTGCCTTTTTTGGCTTTGTTTTTGAGCACCATTAGATTTTCGTCACGTGCGAGTCTTTCGCCTCGTAGTCTGGCGTAAATGAAAATAAAGCGTAGCAGTTTTGAGATACATTAAGCGACGACACGGTCCTTAGGTGATATTAGTCTCGAAATTTTAGGCATGTCTCTCGACTGACGGAGCATGTGGAGGCAGACTCTCGGCACCAGGGGGAACCGATCGGGTTGGGCAGGGAGCCTGCTAGTAGAACTGAAGAGGCTTCCGTACTCGCCTCAAACTCCTGTCAAGTGTTTACAGCGACTTTGTGGCTTTCCCAACATTTTGAATGGCGGCGCCGTCAGAAATTCCCCTGAAGCTGCCTAAAGGGGTAGTACCCACACAAAGGAAAAATCACCCACTTTCCTCTGCGGAACGCGCATCATGCGAGACATACGTCATCCCTTCTTGACGCCTCGCAGCGCCGTCCTCCTGTTCGTTCTGTCAGCACGAACGTTCTGCAGGTGGGCAGCGGAGTAGTTCGTTTTTCGCTGCTTTTAGCGGTACTCTTTTGCCTCGTATGGCCATGGCGGCCTCCGTGCTTTTTTCGCGCTCTTCGGAATCGCCTGTGCCATTACTATTGTTCCTGTAGTTGTAGTCCCACGTGAAATGGCAAATTTAAATGACGACGCCACATTCTTCTTTATTTCTCTCGTTGAGGAGATCCTGGTGTTGCGGGATGCAAGCAGCGATCTCTGCTCAAAGACAAACATCAGGGCGTCGATAGGAGAAAAAAAAATTGCCAAAGAAATGCTCGCGAGGTTCCCGCACTTTTAGCCGTACCCTGTGGGTGAGTGACGTCATTTTCCAATGCATACATGCGCTCTGCGGCTGCTGACATTAAAAACACTATCGAACCTCACAAGACGCCTCATGTTCGTTGTCTGCTTTTACATTTGCGGATGGACGCGGGACAGCGGTTCGACAAAGACTTTATGGGGCACCCGAAGGAGTATCTGATAATCGGCGGTGTCGCTTTCAAGAAGCTCTTCGTACAACTGGTGCTGTGTCCCAAGTTCTTTTTTCTGCATCCAACCTTTCACCAGCACCTTCTTTTTAGCAGGTAGAATGTTGTCGTCGTCGTCCGGGCACAGCAAAACTGTGACCGCTAACTTTGTCAGGTAGCACTGATATCCCTCACGGCTCCCCGCCACTCCCACCGTCCGTGGACTGCTAGAGCTGCAGACAGAGTTTTGCGGGCTGTTGACGTCACGACATCCGTCGGCGGAGTTCTCCTTTGTGTGAATACGCCTGAAGAGGCACCGCTGCCAAACGTTGCTGCGTGCAGATGGCAATACTCAACAATTGGAGGAAGCTGACACCAAGAGACAGGATGAAGGACTGAGTGTCATCTATCGCTGGGTCCTGTAATTATTGAACAGGAACGTCTCGGAAGTAAAAAGAGAAACACAAAAGTGTAGCAGTTAAAGAAGTTGTGATTTTTAAGTTTTTATATTTTAGATTGTCCTCACAATTCAATCTCTAAGTATGAAAAAGATTTGAATTTTTAAGCATTGGAAGACTTGACTTAAAGTCTAAGCCCTGAAACTTGACCCAACTTCGGGCCGTTGAAGCTTCGTAACCACAGTAGTGATAGGAGATAATCTCAATCTTGTTCTAAAGTGGATTTCCAATTCTTCGTTTTGGCATGCTTCGAGGCAACATACATGTAAAGTAAAAGCAGCGATGTTACAAATGCCATTCCAAATAGTGTGAACAGCCATAGAGAAACTCCAATTGGCCAAAGTCCCACCTGTCCGATTGGACCCAGCACGTACCTCCTCTCCCGGCTTTCCTTGAGCATTGTCTTACTCTCAGTGTCGCCTGCTCTCGCTCACTTCCCTGTGCTCACAGATGGTCCTCTCTTCTCCCTCAAGAGCATTCGTCGTGCCTCATTTGCGTCGAGTGCTCGGTAGCACCCAAAAGAATCAAGACCAACCACATTTCTCGGCACACCAAACAGAACGCTTTGTTCAGGTGGAAGCCCGATGCCTCGCTCCAGGGTTTTCACCGACGCTGGAAGATAATTCCGAGGACCCAGCCACAGTCTCAAACTCCTCACAGCGTCTTTCATTCGTGAAATCGACATCAGAAGCGCCAAAATAGTGAGAGTTTCGGTGTCTTTCAGTCGCAGCTGCCTCGTGTCTCAACACCTATTGACGCCCCTTGTCGGGCTTTTTCCTTATTACCGTAAGGCTCCGAAAGAATGCCCACCCCAAAATGAAGAGAAAAATGGGGGAAAACATGGGGTGGGCTATTTTTGGGGATACTACAGGAAAACTTAATCAAAAATTAATGATTAACACCCTGGCACTGGCTACAAACCACGTGAAGCGGGAATTGATATCGCGGACACCGCGAATTCGCGTTTCACGCTGCGATAAACCCGCGGGAATTTGCTACGAACTCCTGTGTCACAGGAAAGGGCACCGCAGGTTGCGGATGCAGCAGATTTGCGTTCCACCGTGCAAAGCACTCGCGGAAACCCTCCGAGAACTCTCGTCTGACAGGAACAAATATCGCAAATTGCAGACGCAGCAGATTCAAATTTTATGGTGTAATAAACATGCAGGAACCCGCTACAAACTTGCTAGTCACGGGAACCGATATTACGCGTGCAGATCGCAGACAAAGACACAGAAATACGCTACAAACACTTATGTTACGGGAACAAATACTGCAGATAGCGAACGCAGCAGAGTCATATTTCACAATGCAATATACACGCGGGACCAACTCGCGTGGAATCGAGATTGCGCACGCAGATTGCAGACAAAAACGCAGGAATACGCTACAAACGTTATGTCACGGGAATGGATACCGCAGGTTGCGGACGCGGCAGGTTCACGTTTCACGATGCAACATACTCGCGGGAACAACCCGTGTGTTACAGGAGCCGATATCTCGTGCGCAGATCGTGGAAGAAAAAGCAGGAACTTGCTATGAACTCGCTTGTCAGACATGCTGGTACAGCTAAGTGCACAATTGATGCGACTCCCGTCGGACATCGTGTGACGTCCGACGGGAATCAGGGGGGGCGGGCGATGTTACGGAATATTTATATTACAGCCAGAAAAACGGGATGGGCAACCTCTGGGGGCGGGCGTTTTCTCGGAACTTTACGGTAATGTGAAAGTATTAACTGTCCCACGAAGCGAGCCGATGTCATCAGTTTGAAGCGCGCCAAACGGCACCTTAAATCCTTTCTCTAAGTGAAGCCAGCTCCTAGCTATGAAACCACGTGAAAAGCCTAAACAGCAGCACCTAGTTTCCCCGATCCCAGAGGAGCGGAGTAAAGCCGATGGATTTCGGTTTCAATCCCATTGGCTGGCGTTCGTGGACAAGGCTCCCATTGGCCGCTGCGCGCGTCAGTTTCAACGACCACCGCCCCATGGCGCTGCGTGTCCGTGCCGCGAGTGCGCCTGTAACACGAAGCGTCCAAGGTCAGAGCTGCGAGTAGAGCTGGGAGAGCGCTCGCACGGCCAATGCAGATACGCCGCAAATGAAACACGGGAGCGGAAGAACAGCATGCATGCTCTTTTATTTCATTTCATTTAATTTATTATACCCTTATAGCACCCGGTAGGGGCTTTACATAAGGGGGGGTCAAAAACAACAATACAGATACAAGTCAACAAGAGTTCGGAATTTTTTCCTCCTTCCGCTCTTTTTTTACATATTGTGAAGAGTGGCAATATCGGAACAAAATCTAATGGGCTCTTTTACTGTCACGATGTCATGGGGATGGATTTCCAGTCTGATATAGATAACTGTAAGGAAGAAAATTTGTAAGTGTTAGTTCTAGGAGTGGCAAGCTGAAGTTTCTGTGAGTTGTCTGTGCGTGCCGAGACATGGTGAGCAGCTGGGCAATATTTTTCTTTCTTTGAGGTTGAATGATAGTACAGGTGATGAAGGGCAGTTAGTCGTGTTATTTTACGTCGGTCAGCAAGAAGGGGTATATTAGTTTGTTGTTTTAGTGTTGTTATACTTGTACGGGTATAATTGCGGAGAACGAAGCGGATGGCAAGGTTTTAAATGGCTTTTAACTTGTCAATGAGATATGACTGATGCGGGTTCCAGATGAGAGATGCGTATTCCAGCTTGGGACGAAGAAGAGATGTGTATGCAATCAGTTTTGTTTCCCGTGTTGCCAGGTGTAAGTGACGTCTTAGAAAGCCTAAAGTTTGATTAGCCTTTGCCTTGACGTGGTTAATATGTGGTTCCCACGAAAGGTTGAGCGTGAAATGAAGTCCAAGATATTTATATGTATGAACATTTTCTATGGGGACACTGAAAAGAGTGTAGTTAAATTGTTTTGATGTGCGTTTATTATTGAAGTTCAAATATTTTGTTTTGGAAACGTTAATTTGCAGCTGCCATTCTTCACACCACGTCTTATGACACGTCAGATCACTCTGCAGAAGCGTACAGTCATCCAGGCCCTCTATTTTTTGGTATAAAACACAGTCGTCGGCGTATAATCTTATCGTGGACTGAATACGAGTAAGCAGGTCGTTGACATATATCAAAAAAAGCAATGGACCAAGCACGGTTCCCTGAGGCACGCCCGATTTTACGTGTTGAGGTGACGAATCTTTACTTTCATGATGATACATTGAGTTTGGTTTGATAGGAAGCCTGCAATCCAGTTCGTTACAAACGGGTCTATTCTTAACGAGCAAAGTTATAACATATGACAGTGATGAGGTACTTTGTCAAAGGCTTTTTTGAAATCAATAAAAATGGCGTACGTTTCTATGCGGGAATGCATATTTTCATGAATATCATTGCTGAATTCGAAAAGTTGCGTTTCACAGGAGTGGGATCGTGGGAAACCGTGCTGGTTTACAAAAATAAAGTTGTTAATGCATAAATGATTCATAATGTTAGAAAATACTATATGCTCCATGAGCTTACTAGGGACACTTGTTAACGATATTGGCCTGTAGTTACCAAATTCATTCTTTGAACCATTTTTGTGTATTGGAATTACCTGCGCGTGCTTCCAATCATTGGGAATTTCGCTTGTGTCTAAGGATTGTTGAAAAATCAGGGAAAGGAGGGTTGAGCACTCGTGCTTGCATAGTTTGTGAAGTTTCATTGAAATTTTATCTGGGCCGGGAGCGGAGTTTGAGTGCTGTTCGTCAATAAGTTTCAAAATGCCAGTTGCAGAAATGGTTAGTTGAGGCATCTCTTGGTACATACTGTAATCAGGGTAGTAATCTGGAAGCAGTCCTGTGAGAAGACTTCACTAAAATATCGACTGAACCGCTCACACGCCTCGAGAGGACTCAATTTGTTTCTATTGTCATCGGAAAATGACGTTGCATTCACAACTCATAAAAAGTGCTTAGGTGTACCTCAAGCCTTCTTTTTGTTTGCAAATTTGTTTGTAGAAAACTTTCAGCCTTTACACTCTGGGGAAGAAGGAAGATCAGCGAAGCTGTACTATGGTGGGAATGAAGTAATGGCCGGCCGCAAGTCAGCAAGCCAGAGTGGAAAGGCTGGAAAGGTTGCCGCCAACTATGAGTGACGGCGGCAACCAGACAACTGGTAAGCCGGTTGTCTGGTTGCTGCTGTCGCTCATACATGGCGGTAGCTGTCCAGAATTTAGTGTCATCATTTATTTGCTGACGGACACGATACTCGGGAAACTAGCCCTTAACAGCTCCGCTGTAAAATGAAAAGCAGAGCTTTTGAGTGCGACAGGGAGGGTTTAAAATCCTCGAATGTGTCGCAAAAGTTGTTCTGTGGCACATTAGAAACATTGAATGACACGTGGCCAATAGGCATAGCGAGGGAAAGGTACCCAAGTGGGCCCCGTATCGAGAGGGGACGTTGATTTTGAGATGCCGCATTGCGCGTAAATACAGTACACTGCCTTTAAGACAAACACGAAGAGACCCTGAAAATTTGTTTCACTTATCAGATGTTCGTCTTAACAGAAGTGCCCTGATTATCATGCTGGGCATGTCTAAATTGTTGTTGACCAATAAACACAGAATGAAAAGGCCTACAAAGAAGAGATACTTAAAAAGGGACATTTATTTGGCTTACCACGCCAAAAGAAGAAAAAAAAATAATGTTTCACACACCACTGGTGGGGGAACCAATCTATCTGGTGATTTTTGACTGCCTCCTCCTCTGTGCAATTCGGTGTCTTGCAATGACAGACGACATGTGGCCAATGTTCCTGAAAAAAGCTTCAGAACCTTCCTGTTCTAGGAAGAACTGCAGTAGCACACTTACAGCAGCATCTGCTGCATCAAATGTCACTGATGGTACTTCCGGGGCAGCTCAAGCACTTCCTCAATCAAAGTTTCGATAGTGTTTGCTTTGCAAGTAGCCACTGAGTTATCAACAGCAATGTATGCCGCTATGTTCAACGAAACACCACTACAGTTCAATGGGGAAGCCAGGCTGGCGTCCTCTGGGTCAGTGTCCTCTGACAAGTCCTGACCTTTACATATGGGTTTTAGTGAGCAGCTCTGCCTTATAAATTTAGCATGGTGGAAGCAGTTTGCAATTGTAGCTTCAGTGACCTGATACCGGGCATGAGACAGAAGATGGAGGGCACTTAAGAGATTCTCTGAGTACTCTTTGCCATTTTCCATGCACAGAAGCATTCATCGAAGCAGCGATCGTCATTTGTGCCTCTTCAGAAAACTGATTGCCCCTGGGTAATGGGCTGCAGTTTTGCAGTTGTATTTGGGGGCAAGAACTAGAGCCGGATAGCCGAAAGTCCGCTGACCTTACCGTGCCCGGGACAGTTATTGACAAGGAAGAGGACCTTCCTTTTTTTGTTTACAAAGCGGTGATTCACCTCGTGCAGCCACTGCTCAAAGAGTGCTTGGGTCATTCACGACTTGGAGTTGGCCGTACAGCTCACCGGCAAAGTTTTCACATTCTTGAAGAAGCGTGGAGACTTGGCCTTGCCGATTACTAGGAGTCGGAGCTTGTCAGTCCCGCTCATATTTAGCACCAACGAGCACGGTAATCCGCAGCTTGCTGTGCTTGCCTCCGGTAAACACGTTGCCAGCAAACGAGAGCGTTTCCTCTGGAAGAAGCTGGTAGTACAGCGCAGTTTCGTCAGCATTGTAGATATCACCTGACTCGTACTCTTCTAGCAAGTGCGTCATCTTAGTCAGCCTCCAGCCGTCACAAGCCGCTTTGTCAACGGCTGTGGCCTCCCCGACGATGGAGCGAAACACCAGTTCGTGTCGCTTTCGAAAGAGATCAAGCCAGCCGTCGCTACATGGAAAATTTATGTTCAAGCACTGTGAAATTTCCTCTGCCTTGGCACGCAAGACAGTTCCATTCACAGGCAAGTTGTCACTCCGTGCTCGCCGAATCCACACGATGAGAACTGCTTCCAGGTTTCCATATGTGGCTGTGAACATTCTCTTTCACTTTGGTGCGAAGTCACCATCATTGTAAGCATCTAATATTTTCTTTCCATCTTTCACTGTGCCTGATAACATACTTTTGGCGATGCCAAACTTAACGTGCAATTGCCGTCTTCGACGGCTTTGCGGCTTTCACCTCCTCGAGTATTTTCACCTTCCTTGCCAGCGGGAGGAACTGGCACGTCCGTTTTTCCATTTTGGTTCAGTCCAGCGCCGATGGCCAAGCGTAGGGCTGATGTCAATGAAGAACAGACCAGTGGAATGGACAAACTGCCGAGCCAGCAGGCGAGTCTTTGTTGCCGTTGAGTATATGTAGTGTAGTTTAGTTTACGCAGTAATTCGTGTTCAAGTACGCTCGCACGCACGCAGTGCGTGCGTGTTTGTGCCTGCGTTTGTGCAGCCTGACCACCCGTGTCCCTCACCACTCCAGCGCTTTCTTCCTCCTCTCCCCTTCTCGAACACCGCCGCGGTGCCTCCGTCGGTGCAGTGCCATCATGGAGGGGACCTATGGAAGTTCGAGTTAACCAAAATGCGTGCACAAAGCAGTTTGTGTTAAACAAATTTTTTTTTTTTATTGCGTCTATGGGAAATTAATTAAATGTTCTTACCTTGTTTGGCATATCCGAGAATTCGGCTTAAGCGAGTTCGCCTTAACAGGAGTCTACTGTACGCCTTTTTTCAAACCATTTTGTTTTATTGTGGGAGTGGGTCCCAAATGGCTGCTGCGTGCTCAAAAACCAGATGAATTCTCGAAGCGGTCGATTTTGGTTTCTCTCGCCTTTACTTTAGGAGGCAGGGTCGTCCCCCGAGCTTTACACGCGGTTTCTTTGTAGCAAAGATATGCACGTATGTGAGACACACTTTCAATCACGTACGAGAATGCAAGTGCGCAGTGTTTGCGGGTGAAAGACATTCCGCACACAAAATAAAGACCCGTCTTTATTTTGAGAGGGCAGGCAAAATAGTTCCAGGGTCGACAGCCACTCCCAGCGTATTCGGAAAATATTGATTGAATCATAATGTGCAAAAAAATAGTGTTTTACGGCTAATGCAGTTGACAACGATATCCAACCTCGGCCTTCTCGGCACGCGCCGCCACGTCTTTTGGACGCATCGCCTCGTTGTCCCCTCTTGCCTTTTGTTTCCGACGAAGAAGCGGAGGTTGCACAGACCCTAGGCAGCACAGCGTTGTGCGGGGCGATTCGTGCGGCGCAAATGTTTGGCCGGAGACCAACTCCGCTACCTTCTACCCTCGTGCAACTCCACGCCACGCGCGTATACGAAATCTGGGGTAGCGTAAAGGTAATTGCGTCGTGCATTTGTTTAGACGGCAGGAAATTAAGTCTGCCCCAATGGGCGTCTGGTGTTGCCGCCGTAAACAATCAATTTTGCTGCTGCAGTTCGATTGCCAGTCTGGAATCTTTAGTGTGCATCACGCGGCAGTAATACTGCACGCCGGTACGACGCCCGCCCGTATTGAGAATGGCATCGGCGGGAATCGCGTCCGGGATCTTTGAGCTCCGCAGCGCAAGCTTGCGCGCCACGTGCTTCTAGCCGTGGTTCGTCGACAGGCTTGGTTACTGAAGCAGAGGGTGCGAGCGTTGACCAACGGGGTCTCTTGGACGTGCAGGCCCTGGCGCTGCTGGCGATGGCCTGGGACCGGCGGCTGATGTTCACCGTGGGGCAGTCGACCACCACAGGCGAAGAGGACACGGTCACCTGGAACGAGATCCACCAGAAGACGCAGATGCACGGGGGCGCCCACGGCTACCCAGACCCCTCCTACCTGGACCGCCTGCTGGCCGAGCTCGCCGACCACGGGGTGCTGCCTCCCGACATGCCCACGGGCCCCCGACCGCCCCCGCCTCCCCAGCAGTCGCTTCTGGTTCCCAAGCAAGAACCGCTCTCACCTTCTAAGCAGGAGTGACTCTACGGATCGCCCGACGGCCGCGGACCTCCTTCCGGAGTCTCCAAGGGCCCATATTAACCGATAAACTGGAGCATTTTATTCTATGGACGGAGTGTAACGCCTCACCTTACTGTTCCTGCACCGCTCGACTTTGTGACGACGACATCCTTTGATTTAACTTCTCCAGCCCACGCTCCGTCCACCCCTGAGCCAACGGTATGGTTGTGATCGGGTGCCTTCCTTTCGTCACCTGACCCCACTCTCTGCGCTTGGGTGTTGGCGGTTGGTGACTGCGTGTAGTAAAAGATCGGTCCAACGGGCATGTAGCTTCCACCGCACTGTCGGATTAGTAGTGAACAAAGTATAAGCGTGTAAAAAAAAAAAAAAAAAAAGTGAAGCGCAATGCAGAAAAAGTGAAGGGCAGCGTACTTCCGACGTGCATTTTAGGACGGGCTACCCTCGTAAATTGAATAAAGCGATGTGCACCGGGTATAAGTTGTGGCGGGGGCGTAGGTCAGGTGTCGGCAACCTCTTTCAGCGGCGGGCCGATTTGCCAGGAAGCTGACAAAAAGGGGGCCGGATAACAAGTCGCGAAAGGAGGGGTGGGGAGGGGAGGGAGGGAGGGGGGGGGGGAGGGGTGCAATCAAAGAAGAGGCAAAAAGGAGTTGAAGATGTTTTATTTCCAAGTATGGGGTGCCGGACAATCCTTATTTGAGGTCAAAACCAGTGTTGGCTGTAATGCGTTACGAGTAACGCCGTTACTGGTAACGCTTTACTTTTTTCAGTAACGTAGTAATGGAGTCGTTACTTTTTCAAAGCAGTAATGGGTGATGTACTTATACGTTACTTATATCAGGTAACGAGTAACATACGTTACTTATTTGAAGCGAAGGGTAACATAGTTATGTTACTCATTACTTCTTCACAAGATTTTAAAAATATAACTCTAGTTTTTTCGTGTTTTTAGACGCCAAGCCATGTGAATTTTTGCTTTTCTTTACGTTTTTCGTGAGCACTTAGGTGAAACCATAAAAAAAGATAAATTATTTATGTTCAGTTTCTGCACAAACATAATCTTTCTTGAAATATTGCGCATATGTCTACTTGTACCGTCGAAACAGTAAAACGCGTTCATTCATAATTTAAAATGCAAAAGTAACATGCGCTACTTTTTATCAGTAACGGGAACAATCACGTGTTCCCTTTTATTTTGAGGTAACGGAGGTCGTATCGCATTCCTTTTATTTGTAACCAGTAATGTATTTCGTTACTTTTTTTTTTGGTAACACCTACAACACTGGTCAAAACTGCCATGTGGTTCTTGACTCTGTGAGGAAGTGGCATGGGGGGGGGGGGGGGTGCTTTTTGTTGTTGTGCAGGGGGCTGCATGCCTCCCGCGGGCCTTGGGTTGCCAACCCCTGGCGTACGTAAACCAAACGAGCCTATAGTCTGTTTCATTTTACGATGGACTGCGGAGAAATCTACAAGCCCTGGAAGCCAATCCCGTACTGCGTGAGAGTCATGTGACCTTCGGGTAGGGCGGGGCAACGCATGAGGTGCGTAGTCGCACGATACATCCACGGCACTGGATTGGTCAAGGTGGCTCGTAGCGTTTGCTGCAGTCCATCGTAATGTTAATTAAAGTACAGGCGTATACTAAACGAAGTATAGGTATCTTGTGGTGAAACGAAGTACGAACCTCAGTTGGTATGCTGCGTTCAGACCGTTCGTCTGTTCTTGAATACTAAGGCAGGGCGTTTCGTTTTGCGGCCACATTGATTTAGATAAAGGCTCCCCTTCCGGGTAACAACCGTATTGACCGGAGGTTCAATCTCCGCATTGACAGGAACTTTGCACGCCTTTTTACAGGATTATGGTACCTGCTACTTCATTTGCTGCGGAAATTCAGTAAAGCATGCCCAATTTCAGTTTTGTGTTTCCTCCGGTTTTTTTCTATGCCCCTCTAGAAAACTTTTGCACTTCTGATGATTTTCGCAACAAGAATATACTGTTAAAAGTTGCCCTGGAGAGGAAATTTAGTTACAGTTACTTGATCTGAAATGTAATTAGGTTACCTTCCAGTGGCACATTTTCAAATGAATCCACTTACAGCTACCGTAAAATGTGTTGTAGTACCCTCCGGGAGTTAGGTGTCTCTGACGGTTACAAATGATGCCTCCTTCACTTCTTTCTACAAGTGTCTGCTACTTTCATATTACATTTGAACTGCAGTTACTTTGAAATAGCATTTACTTATTTATTTTATGGCCTACCTTTACAGGGTCAGGCAGGAAAGTGCATGGTTCCTCTAACAATTCCAAACATGAAACATCCTCGACAGCATGAAATATATATATAGGTGAAACTTTACCTAGCACGCACTCAAGGTACACAAAAGAATGTTATACATGTCTAAATGATTCACTTAGCAATCTGTACGACGTCAAATAATTGAGATTGAAATAATTATGCTCTGCAGGATCCACACTTGTATGGTGTTGAAAAGCTAAAAGTAGAAGTTAAAGATGAACACTGGCATTTTTAACGCCAATCAGAAACTGGGCCAAGAACAAAAGCCAATTTTTTCTAAAAAATCATTATAATTTTGTTTCACCTAACGTAAAAGTCAAACGGAAACTAGTTTGCAAATCTGCTTGTTTGCCTTTTTGAATAGCGGGCGCCGATCTTGCATAAGGGTGGTGTAGTACTTCTCGTTTTATCTCGATTTACCTGCACCGGTGCAGAAAAGTATGGTGGTGTAGTACTTCCCGTTTTATCTCAATACACATACCGCAAGTACACTGCCTTACACTTTTCTGCCTCGGTGCAGGAGGTCCAAGTAAATCGAACGCAGCTACTATGTTCGCGTCTCGTAGTATGATGGTGGTCACTACAACTCAGCTCGTGTAGCAGAGTCCGGAAGTGATTAGGAGTTGCTGGTGGACTTCAGTGGCGAAACTTAGAGGAGTCACCATTTGCTTCATCTCCTGGCATTGCCTCCAAGGAAATGACCATTAGCTGCACCCCTGACCCACCAGTATGCAAACCAAAATACCACAGCAAAAGTAAAATGATGCAAAACAAAACTGTTTCAGTGCTGTAAAGGACTCCACCTCCTCACCTAGCAGCCTCCTCAGGCGAGTCGGCTGAGATATCAGACTGTTTAATGATAACGGTTACATCACTCCAGGGTGACAAGTGACTGCAAAAAAGAATGCCGACAAAACAACTTAGAGTCCACACCATGCCAAACTGATACTATCACTTGAACCGCTTGAAGTTATCAGTGATGTCAATCTGATATCCTTGGTTATTTAAGTAAGGGTTACTGCACAGGCAAACTGGTGAATGATAATAGTGAAAAAAACCTTGAGACTAGGAACAAAAAAAGGGGGACAAACAACACAGTCTCAAAAATTTGAGCCGGTGTTGCGTTTGTCCTCCTTTTTTTGTTCCTAGATTACACTGACAGAGTACATATGCATGCCAATGTTTCTATTTGAAGATGACCTATCAGAGCCCAGCTACCCAGAACACAATTTGCGACTCAAAATTCGTATTCTTTCCGCCCGAAAGCCTCCAGTCGCTTTCTTTTTCACGGTCACCTGCCGTTCAAGCTGCTGCATACCAGTAACATTTGGAGGTGGCCTAGTCGGTGGTGCATTGTAAACATATAATTAAAACAGCGCAAACAAACACAAGGACAATTAGAAAAAGAAACACAGACACAGTGCTACATACCAAATATATTTGAAGTCTTGGGTCATCTACGATACACATTCAATATTCAAAATAGAAAATAATATGAACTCCATTTCTGTGGCCTCCAAAAGGCTGCAATATACGTTGATCGAAAAACAAATGTTGCACAGATCACAGAAATTAGATGTGCACGTCATTCTCAATATCTATATGACTAATATGACGACATACCATGGGCTGGATTATGCGATGGCGGTGCACGGCCGACAAAGTGCAAGCCGGTTCAAGCAACATGGTCATTGTCGTCGTCTGCTTTACATACCTGGAGGTATGTGGCAGCGCCAGCAGCGCTGCAGTCATATGGGCTCGAGGATCCGACCGGTCCTGAGCATTCCAAAGGCCTTCAGCGAGCAGGTTTGGCCGTTTGGCAGCGCGAAGTGGCTCCCGTTCTGAACTGATCTTTACCCCGTGTTTGCTGTTGTTTGTGGCCAATGAAGTGCCATGCCGAATTAGTGTCGCACAGCAAATGCAATGCGAGCCGCCCTGGCCGTCCGCTTCATCCAGCCTATCCAGCACATGCTTTAAGGCCCGTTCACACTCTTGCGACCGAGTACGACTGAGAGAGACGAGATCTCTTACAACTTCTTAAATGTTTCTAGAATGAGGGAACACACTGACATTGTGGCGCCATCTATGCGGTGACCCTAGAACTGCATTTCACAGAAGCGAAGGTATTGCGGGATTTCCGAGGTCAAATGTGCGTAATACCCATAGAAAGGCTCGTTTATAACGTTGACAAAAGCTTTTCGAGCCAAAAAAAAAAAAGGATATTGCGCGAGAAATAAAAAAAAATATGCCGGACCGCCGAGTTTACACTGCTTCCCAATAGATGGCGCCAGTGTGTTCTCTGGTTTAAGAAGTTTTAAGGAACCCAGGTTTAAGAGGTCGCAAGCAGTCGCAAGAGTGTGAACGGGCCTTTAGTGGCACCCTCTCCAGCCGCCGACACAGAGTGCAGCAGCCGTGAGCGCTCACTCCCTCCTCTAGTTTACGGCCACTCAAGCAAGGACCAAGGATGTCATGAAGATTATTTTTTGCTTGTTTTTGTAATTTTAATTTGCTTATAACTTTTAAAATAAAGTGAAATTCAAGAAGGGAAAAGTTTCATTAAGTATATGTTCAGTGCGCTCAGGTTCGGTGCATTTTGAAAACCAGTCAAAAAGTCGTTGCAGGGCCCTTTTAAGCTGCAACAGTGAATTAGAGTATAAAGACTGAAATGTTCGTTTTCTGTTGGGCAGGCAGCAAAATTGTAAGAGGCGCATTAAGGCCCGTTCACACTCTTGCGACTGCTTGCGACCTCTTAAACCTGGGTTCCTTAAAACTTCTTAAACCAGAGAACACACTGGCGC